GAGTAGCAGAGAAAGGGGGAGGGATGAAGGGTGAAGGAGTGTGTCAGCCCCACATAGTCTCCTCCCAGGTGTGTATGGGTGACACACAGGTGAGTAGCAGAGAAAGGGGGAGGGATGAAGGGTGAAGGAGTGTGTCAGCCCCACATAGTCTCCTCCCAGGTGTGTATGGGTGACACACAGGTGAGTGGCAGGGAAAGGGGGAGGGATGAAGGGTGAAGGAGTGTGTCAGCCCCACATACTCTCCTCCCAGGTGTGTACCAGGATCTGGGAATGTCTGAGTCCTTCTCTCTCCCACCCCTCATGTCAGCCAGATTCTGGGGGGCCCTGCATTCTAGAGGTGCCTGCCCCCCATGTGGGAGTTGGGAATTAGGAGCAGTTTGCTCTCTGGGGGGTGGTCTGAGCCCCTCTCTCTGCCCCCCTGTGCCTGTGCTGGGTGGTCCTTGGCTTTCACTCCCATCTCCAACACATCCCGAAAAGCAACATGTACTCCAGACATCATCAGACACCCCCATGGCGACCTCCTGCTCTCCTGGCTCCGCATGCAGCACATTTGACAGCCCCATAGTCTACTCCTGGGAGAATCCTGTGCCAAATTATTAACAATATGCACAGCTCGTTAATTACATGTGTGCAGTAGCGCAGAATTCCCCCAGGAGTAAGAGTCCGTGCACCGGGGAGGTTAACCTGTATTAACAGTGCTTAAGGTTTGTGCACAGTGGGAACAGGGATGCAAGTTTCAGCACATGTGCTGGTGAGGGTGAAACCAGCCCCACGCTGCATGTCTGTAAAAGTTGCTACATGAACAGTTTTATTTTTTTAAGGCTACATTTACACTAACCGAAACATGCCTTTTCCTTTTCTTGTCTTGGGAAGAGAGAATCTCTTGTAGGTGCCATGGATATGGATCTAGTGTCCGTGCTCATGAAGGGTATGGAGTCCGTCTCAGTGCTCATGAAGAATATGGAGTTAATCTCAGCTCGCATGGAAGCTCTGGATCTAGGGTTGGACCCAAAGGAATTCTTCAATGGCTCCATAAAGTTGTTTGAGGAGTTCATGGATATTTTCAAAGACAAAGAACAGGCTGAAGTGGCTTCTATATCGCAGGCAGAGCTGGAGTCATTCAAATCCACCATGCTCAATATCGCAGTCACGGGGGAGACGGGTGCCCGGAAATCGTCCTTCATCAACGCCCTCCGGGGACTGACTGCTGAGGATGACGGGGCTGCCCCAACGGGGGTGACAGAAATGACGATGAAGCCGACTGTTTATCCCTATCCAAACCACCCCAACGTGAGGCTGTGGGACCTGCCTGGCATTGGCGCCCCAGATTTTCAGCCAACCACGTACCTGAAGCAGGTGAACTTCAAATGCTATGACTTCTTCGTGATCATCGCTTCGGAGCGCTTCAAATGCAACCACACGGCCCTGGCCCGAGAGATCGAGAGAATGGGGAAGAGGTTCTATTTTGTGCGCTCCAAGGTGGATGAAGACTTGCGCAACGAAGAAAGGGATCACCCTAGAACATTCAGTCAGGAGAGCGTCCTGCAGCGACTCAGGATGGACTGCAGGAAACACCTGCAAAATGCAAGGATGTGCAACCCAGAGATTTTCCTTCTCTCCAGCTGTGAATTCACCAAGTATGATGCTCCTGGCCTTGTAAAGACTTTGCAGGATGATATCCAAGGTCTGCAGAGACTTGCCTTTCTGCTCAGTCTGCCAAACCTGTCTGCAGAAATCATAGAGGAGAAGAAAGCTGCCCTGAAGAAGCGGATATGGCTAATATCCCTCGCATCGGCTTTAGTCAATGTCGTTCCTATCCCGCGGCTCTCTGTTGCTTGTGATATTAGCATCCTGCTAGGATCCATGATTGCCTTCTACAAGTACTTCGGTCTAGATGACATCTCCTTGGCTAATCTGGCCAGGCAGACTGGGAAACCGATAGCGGAGCTGAAGGCTGTTATCATATCTCCTGAGGCAAAAGAAATAAACAGAGATGTTGTAATCAAACTGCTGCTAAAGACGGGTTTGCCTGGATTAACTGCAAATCTACCAGTGCTTGGTCCCATGTTAACTGCGGGAATCTCTTTTTTAACCACCTACTTCATGCTGTTGAGATTTCTCAGTGAAGTGGCTGAAGATGCCGAAAGGGTTCGGAAGACCGCTTTGACGGAAGACGGGAAAAAGCGTAAATGATCAGCAGACGTGTTCATGAATCAGAGACCCAATCCCAGATGGAGATCAAGGCATGACCCTCCCACATTTTAAAAATCAAGCCAAAAAAGAAGCAGCATTTTTATTCTTTAATTTCCTGCAGTGTGTCAAGTTTCTAGGCTTTTTTAAACATTTTGTCTAATACAGGAAAACCAACAAAATGCACCAAGATCCTCAACTGATGTAACTCAACATGGCAACCAACGTTGCTGTCAGCTGCTGTCTCTTTAGTACCCGACCTGCACAACCATCCAGCCAGAGCCTACAGCAGACTTTGTGCACCTTTTAAACAATGCCTTTGATTTGAAGAAGTGCAGACCATGGCTAGTTTGTGCGCTATCAGCCGGGTTACAAATGAATGAGGGCGCTGGAACAAGCATTTCCCAGTAATGTCGACCGTGACCGTTCAAAAATCACCATTCAGGCCACTAAAAATCACGAGATTTTAAAAAAAATGTTGTTGTTTTTTTGTTTGCCTCCTGTTTTGAGGGTTTGTTGGTCACCTTTTCCTGCTGTTCTCCACGGCTAGAAACTACTTCTTTTTAATGAAAGCTGCAATTTTCCCATGATCACACGACTCCAGGAAGCCTAGAATCACAAGAGTTGGCCACATTCATGTATCGACTGTATCAGCGCTGTGCTGATCCAAGGAGCAATTTAATCATATCATGATCCCAACAGCCTGTGTGAGCACTTGGAGAATCCAGCATATTACTACAAGTTGGATATAGAAGCTAACTTCTATATAATCTATAGCCAGTTGCAACTGCCTTGACACTATATCAATAATTAAGTGTCTTTGTTGCTTTATCATTACTGCTCTTGCAGATATAGTCGTATCATGTAATAAATTCACCTATAACCTGAATTAAGTCTCTGTGTAGATCATGATGACAATGGTCAGAGAGAGAAATCCAGTGGCAGGGAGTCCTGTGGGTTAACCCCGCTAATTCCCAGTGGCAGGGAGTCCCGCTGGTTAACACTGCTGCTTCCCAGTGGCAAGGAGTCCCATGGGCTAACCCTGCTAATTCCCAGTGGCAGGGAGTACTGTGGATTAACCCCGCTAATTCCCAGTGGCAGGGAGTCTCTCTGGTTAACACTGTTAAGGCCCAGTGGCAGGGAGTCCCGTGGGTTAACACTGCTATTTCCCCAGTACCATAACAAAATGCTTAGGCATCACTTTAAACACAAGACTTCAGTGAGGTTGCTGCTCAAGGGTTTAAAGTTCTGCACGTCTTTAAATGCTTTGCTGAACCAGGGCTCCAAAGAAGGGGGCAGACAGTCCTCCAGGGCGTGCGTCCTGTGACGAGCTTTTAGATCAGAGAGGAAATGGAAGGCGAGAACAGCCTCGCGACTTTGAAACGAGCCAAAGCTTTGTCTGGACGAGGGGAAAAGGGGTGCCTTGCGTTAAAACGGGGGTCTCATGGGTGATCTCAGCCAGCTGACCCATGTCAGAGCTACAACTGGCCTGGCCTGCATTCGGATGTTAACACCAGTGAGCTTCTAGTGCGGACAGAGCCCTAAAGTGTGTGTGTGTTAGCTCAGTGGTTTGAGCATTGGCCTGCTAAACCCAGGGTTGTGAGTTCAATCTTTGAGGGGGCCATTTAGAGAACTGGGGTAAAAAACTGTCTGGGGATTGGTCCTGCTTTGAGCAAGGGGTTGGACTAGATGACCTCCTAGGTCCCTTCCAACCCTGATATTCTTAAAAAAAACACAACACTTTCTAATCTCACAGAACTGAACAACCTAGACCTGCCCCTTCCATGAGGCCCTGTTCCCCTTCCCTTGGTGGCTTGCTCTCACTCACATTCACTGGGTTGGGGTGCAGGGAGGGTGAGGGCTCTGGGGTGGGGCCAGGGGATGAGGAGTGTGGGAGGGGGCTCCAGCGTGGGGCTGAAGGATTTGGAGTGTGGGAGGGGATATGAACTCTGGGGGGGGGAGCCTGGGATGAGGGGTTCAGGGTGTGGGAGGAGGCTCTGGGTTGGGATAGGGATTTGGGGTGCAGGGTGGGGTGAGGGCTCTGGCTGGAGGTGCGGGCTATGCCAGGACAGGTAGAGACTAGCCTGCCTTAGCCCCGCAACACCGCGGACTGGATTTGGTGGTGCTGACAGGAGCTTCCAGGGTCCCTTTTAGACCAGGCG